CATTAACCAGTCTATAACTGTCATTAACTAGTCTATAACTGTCATTAACCAGTCTATAACTGTCATTAACTAGTCTATAACTGTCATTAACCAGTCTATAACTGTCATTAACCATTAACCAGTCTATAACTGTCATTAGCTAGTCTATAACTGTCATTAGCTAGTCTATAACTGTCATTAACTAGTTTATAACTGTCATTAACCAGTCTATAACTGTCATTAACTAGTCTATAACTGTCATTAACTAGTTTATAACTGTCATTAACTAGTCTATAACTGTCATTAACCAGTCTATAACTGTCATTAATTAGTCTATAACTGTCATTAACAGTCTATAACTGTCATTAACTAGTCTATAACTGTCATTAGCAAGTCTATAGCTGTCATTAACTAGTCTATAACTGTCATTAGCTAATCTATAACTGTCATTAACCAGTCTATAACTGTCATTAACCAGTCTATAACTGTCATTAGCTAGACTATAACTGTCATTAACCAGTCTATAACTGTCATTAATTAATCTATAACTGTCATTAACTAGTCTATAACTGTCATTAACCAGTCTATAACTGTCATTAACTAGTCTATAACTGTCATTAGCTAGTCTAGAACTGTCATTAACTCGTCTATAACTGTCATTGGCTAATCTATAACTGTCATTAACCATTCTATAACTGCTACTAATAGTCCATAGCTGTTATTAACCGGTCTATAACTGTCATTAACCAGTCTATAACTGTCATTAACCAGTCTATAACTGTCATTAACTAGTCTATAACTGTCATTAGCTAATCTATAACTGTCATTAACCAGTCTATAACTGCCATTAATAGTCCATAGCTGTTATTAACCAGTCTATAACTGTCATTAACTAGTCTATAACTGTCATTAGCTAGTCTATAACTGTCATTAACCAGTCTATAACTGTCATTAACTAGTCTATAACTGTCATTAACCAGTCTATAACTGTCATTAACCAGTCTATAACTGTCATTAGCTAGTCTATAACTGTCATTAACCAGTCTATAACTGTCATTAACTAGTCTATAACTGTCATTAGCTAGTCTATAACTGTCATTAACCAGTCTATAACTGTCATTAACTAGTCTATAACTGTCATTAACTAGTCTATAACTGTCATTA